TATCCGTCTGACCACTCCTCTTGTCTCCTTTCTTGGATCCTCTTCTAGATCATGCCCTCTAACCACAGGTGTACCTCAAGGTTCTGTCCTGGGCCCTGTTCTCTTCTGCCTCTATATACTTCTTCACCTTTGCAACATCTCTCAATTACACCTTTTCTCCTCTGACACTGCCACCACTCTGGTGCAGGCCGTCATCACCTTATGTCTTGACTATTGCAACAGCCTGCTGGTGGGTCTGCCTACCTCAGTCTTTCCCCACTCCAATCCATTCTTCATTCAGTCACTAAAGTGATTTTTCTAAAATACAGGTCCAATTATCACCCCCCTACCAATAAACTCCAGTGGCTTCCCATTGCTTCTAGGATCAAATATAAAATGCTTGGTTTGAAACCCCTTCATTTGAAACCCTAAAATGCTCCTATCTTTCCAGTTTTCTTATACCTTGCTCCCCGACATATACTCTTTAATCCAGTGACACTGGCCTTCTGGCTCTTCCATAAACAAGACACTCCATCTGTCAGCTCCAGGCATTTCTTTGGCTATCCCCCATTCCGGGAATATTTTCCCTCTTCCATTCCAACTACTGACCTCCCTGGCTTCTTTCAGAAGTCTTTTCCTGGGGCAGCTAGGTGGTGCAGTGGATAGAGCACCAGCCCTGAAATCAGGAGGACCTGAGTTCAAATCCAGCCTCAGACCAAACACTTGGCACACTTACTAGCTATGTGACCCTGGGCAAGTCACTTAACCCCTATTGCCTATAAAAAAAAAAAAAAATTCTCCAACCCTTCTTAATCCCAGTGCCTTCCTTGTTAATTAACTCCCATTTATCCTGTATATGGCTTGCTTTGTATATATTTGTTTGCATGTTGTCTCATCTTTTACATAGTATGCTCCCTGAGGACAGGAGCTATGTTTTACTTCTTTTTGTATCCTCATTGATTAACATAGTAGGTGCTTAATAAATGTTTATTGATTGATATATAACAATACTGATGAGGGTACCTACCACAAAGGACTGTTGGAAGGCTAAAATGAAATAATATGCCTACTGAGGCATTTTGTAAATTGTAAAGTGCTATATGTGTTCTTATCATCATCATCATTATTATATTATCATTACTTATTACCACCACCACCATCATTATCCATATTGTCCCCAACTTTTCCCAACTCAGAGCTGGTTGTGAAAGGGGGAAAAGTGTTTTGAGTAGTGAGGGCAGTGTCCTCTTCCAGGGAGAAGCAACAGGAATGGCTCTCCCTTTGCAGATTCCCATAGTCTATCAGAGTCATAATGAACAGCCTGGAGTTCTGAAGTGTTCACACAGGGAGCCAGTGAAGTTTCCTGGTTGCTGTGACATTGCCTTAACAGCCTTCAAGAATTAGCTAACTCTTCCAACCCACTAAAAAATAATTGCACTTTGATCAGAGGAGAAAAGAAGCTATTTAAGGTATTAGCTTAAAAGGTCTTATGTATGAGCACAGGCAATTAAGGCTGACATCTACATCAGCATCCTACACAAAGCCTGGGAAACACTTCATGTCACTTGTTAACTCCAGGTTACTCCTGAAGACCTTTTCGAGCTGTATTATCCTCAGCCTGCCACTTCCTGGAACACTCCCTGATTCACTGGGAGAAGGGCGATTTCTCATCTGCTTCCTCATGATCCCCCAGAAGATCACCTTTTCTTTCTCTCATATACCACTTGTAAATGGCACCCTTCTCCCTGGAGGAAAACTTATAGAGAGAATGCTGGACTTGGAGTCCACATCCCACTTCAAACATTTACCAGCTATAGGCATCTCTCCACCTCTTGGGAGCCTCAGTTCTTTCATCTGTAATGTGAGGGTGATGATACTAGAACTGCCTGCCCTGTAAGGTTATGAAGAAAGCACCTTGCAAACCTTCAAGGTTATAGAGATCATTGTTATTCATGTACACCCAATAATACTGACTATTCTTCAGCCTTCCCTTGGCAAGTAAATCCGGGTCATTTTCTGTAACACTAAGCTTCAATCTCCACATCTCTAAAATGGGGGAGAATAACCTTTGTTATAGAAAAACCTCTCTTATGTTATGTAGAAAGTGCTGTGTAAACCTTAAAAAAAATGCAGCAGGTAACAATTATTATTATTATGATGATTAGACTTTGAGGTCTGGGGTTAGGGACTGTTCTTTTGGAACAGTGCCCAGGATAGGACCTCTGGCAACCAGGAGCTTACTGAGACTTTGGACAATAAAGACAACAATGAACAGAACATGGTCCTATCAAATAGAGGCAAAGGGAAGGCATTATGGCATAGAGAGTACTGGACATAGAGTCAGGAAGACCTGAGTTCAAATTCCCCCAAATGACACTAACTAACTAACTAACCTTGGTGAGTGTCAGTTTCCTTAACTGCTGGGTGGCAAAGTGATGATGAGGATGATGATGATGATGATAGCTACCATTTATATGGTGCTTATTATGTGCCAGGATGGAGCACCTGGCCCGAAGTCAGGAAGATCTGAACTCAAATTTGGCCTCAAGACACTTACTAGCTATGTGACCCTGGGCAAATTACTTAACCTCTGCCTCAGTTTCTTCAACTATAAAATGGAGATAATAGCACCTATTTTCCAGGGCCGTTGTGAGAATCAAATGAGATAATACCTGTAAAGAACTTAGTGAAGTACCTGGCTAGTTATATGTGCTATGAAGGCTAGCTATTACTATAGGTGTGGCACTTTTCTCACTGGGCTGTTCTGAGGCTCAAGTGAAGTAACAGGTATGTAAAGTGCTTTGCAAACTTTAAAGCAAAAGTCAGCTGTTATTATTCCACTCTCACCTATAATAGGCACCTCATTGCTGGGATACAACAGCTTACATGGCTATCCCCAATATTTGCCAGTGGATTAATCACAGCTTATGTTTAGTTCCAGGCAGATGTTCTGAGGAAAGTCACTGCCCAGAGTCATCAGGCAAACCTGTGCATGCCTCTAGGATGTGGAATGTCTGTATCAGGTGTTTTCCTCCAACACTGGCAGGTACATCACTCCTGAGCAAAAATATGAACCTTTAGGATGCAATCTGCTGAGGCCACATATAGGGATTTGTGTATTGTTTGCAGTGCTTGGTTTATTTCCCCTTGTCTGCTGAGTGTTTGTTTTTTCCCTGTACTGGCAACAGAGAACTCAAGGGGCCATGAACTCTCTCTTTTCTGTCTGAAGATCAGCCTGAGGTCCCCATCTCTTCCTTCCTTCCTCCCCAGCAGTTATCTGGCAAATAACTTTGACTGACAACTCAGGAAAGGGTTTCAGTAATAGTTAACTATTCCAGGCCATGATTCAGTTACAAGAGGAAAATTCATGACCTGTACATTATACCACAGACAGACTTCTCTCCCCTCTTTAAGCCCAGACAGCCTGTTTGTGAGTATTTCTCATAAAATTCAGTGACTTTCAGTTCAAGCTGGCAGACCGGCCTCAGAATTGCCTTTCCCAGATCCTGCTCTCCACATTCATTCCAAGAAGAACACGAAGACATTAAATCTGAGGTCCACTGGGGCCTTTCTCTGCCCTTCTGCCAAGTGAGTTGGGGCGTCTCTGGCGGGTGGGCGGAACAGAGGCCCGACATTCCAGTCCTTAGAACAGAGACTCCTCTTCCAGAGCACCAGTTTTCAACAAGCTGACTCTCTCTACCCACAAGCCTGGAACTCTACAAAGTTCCTGCTGTTGAAAGGCACTCCTTCCCTCCCTCCCTCCTTCATCCAAAGGGCCACGGTGCCGAAGTGCTAGCTCTCCAACAGAGGGGAAAATGATGGTAAACAGAGCTATAATTCTGTTCAAATAGTGCTTAGTCCCAGACTACCGACACTGAGGAGGACTTTACCTCTCCCTCCATTGTGCGGTCACAGTAGCACCCCTCTGGCAAACAACATCCTCTACCCCCATTTCTTAAAAACCCCAAATGGAAGGGGAATACTTAAAAGCTCGGTGATTGACAGAGGGTAGAACAGCTCCCCTCTCTAGATGATTGTAACCGTAGTTGGCCTGTCCTCCATATCACCATTTTGTGCCCCCTCAAAACTATTTTTACCTCTACCTTAAGATTTCCCTAACTAGGACTTGCTTGGATAGCAAGAATGAAAATCGCCTTGTTCTCCCTCCTGCTGCCTGCCTCCTATCCGCCCCACCCCAAACCTTCTATCCAGTTTCCACCCTCTGTCCACTTCGCACTACTCACTGCCCCCCTATTCCTCCCCTTCTTCTCAACCCCCCCACCCATCTAGCTGCCAATCTGTTTCCTACCTACTTCAGTCTTGCAATCCCCTACCCTCAGGGTCTGATGACCTCAGATTTACCACAGGAAGGATATAAACACTAGAATATACCAGAAACCAGAGCGAGAGAGTCCCCACCGGTACAACCAGACCCATCCAATTCCTCCAAACAGCGGAATCTAGAAGCAAAAGTTGACGTTTCCTCCCTCATTTTTTTTTCACTCATATTCTTTCTGAGAATGAATAGCGATGGGGCAAAACTGAAAGCTGAGTGCAAAGGGGGTTGTAGAACTTAATCCAGAGCAAAATACCCCGCTTCTCCCTGCCCGTGCGAAAAAGTCTGCGTTAGAGGAAAAGGCTATTGGCTATTATTCAGTGGAAGAAATAACTGAAGAGGATTCAGCCACAACTGCCCCTGACTCCCCGGGTGGGAGTGTCGTTGGGGGAGAGAGGATGGAGAAGAAGGGGGAGGCGCCCGGGAATCTGGGTCCTTCTCCCAGCCCCCAATCTTTTTTGTCCCGAAATCGGATTTGGGAGGTAGCAGTGGCTAGATCGGGTCACCGGCCCCCTCCAGCAGATAAGCAGGGACACTGGGAGGAAGGCCGCTGCCTCCCCCTTCCCATCTTACCTCGCACGCTACGCAGCCCAAGCTTCCCAGAGGACTAGAGGCCAGTTCTGCGCAGGCATCGCCCCCCTGCCACCGCCTGTTCTCCCTTTGCCTAAGTTTTCCCCAGACTTACCAGGAGGGGAGGAGTGGCAACGCTGGAGATTTCCTCCGTAGATCTGTCTTGCCTGTCTGAATCAAAGCAGTGTCTCCTCTGCCTGTCTGTCTGTGCCAATGCTTCTGCCAGACAGAACGCCGACTCCCGGCGCCTAGCTCCTTGGCATTCCACTCCAGGCTCTGGAGCTAGAAAGTGGAAGCGCAGGGGAAGGTGCGGAGGCGGTGCCCAGCCCTGCCCAGCCCAGCCCAGCCCAGCCCAGTCAGACCAACCCCACCAGCCCCGCCCCGAGAGGCCCACGTGGAAGGAGGCGAGCCTGGAACGGCCAACGCCCCGGAGCTTCTGGAGAGCCTTAGGAAGGGAAGGGAGTGGGTGTGGGGGCTGCTGTGGCTGCTGCAGGGTGAAGGGAAGCCAGGAAACCTGGGTTCCTGTTCTGGCTCTTGTAGCCCAGGCTCTAATCCCCATCGTTCACTCCCTGTGTTACAGCGGTTAAGACATTTCTTGAATCTCAGTTTCCCCATCTGTCAAAGGAAGCTGTTCAGAGATCAGAAGAGATAACGGATGTGAAAAAGAAACAGCCTGGGTGGTTGGAAAGAACCCCGGTTCAGGATACCTGGGTTCAATTTCGCTTACAAATATTAAGTACCAAATATCAACAAAGGATCTGTTTTTTGGATTGGACCTGTGATTTCATTGGTATAAGAAAACAGCACTAGTAATAAAAATCAGCACTGGCTCTAAAACAGTCGAAGCACCGCAGAGGATTAGGCTAAGTGACTTAGTCACTTGAGCCCAGGTCTTACTGAAGCTGAAGAAGGAGTCTCTATTCTTCAGGGAGAAAGGAGTTGGGGGGTAGGTGTGGGGGGGAATACAAGTATACAGATAAGTGTAATACAAATATGCTGATAATATACAGATGAGTATAATATACAAATATTTCCTGACTTTTGACTGATAACTCACCCCCTCACTCAATCAGTTACCAAGTTCCCTCATTTCTATTGCAACCATAGCAGTGGCATAACTCCCATTCAGTACTACTGCCACCATCCTTTTTTAGACCCTCATCCTCTCCAGCCTGAGCCATAGCCTTTTATTGTGTGTGCCATTCTAGACTCTCCAATCCATACCCTCCACAGTCACCCAAGTGATTTTTCTAAAGAGCTGACTTGATCATGTCACCCCTCTACTCAATAAATTCCCATGACTTCCTAATATCTCTAGGATCACTTGGCATTTACAACTGTTCACAACGTTGCCATTTTCTACCTTCCCAGGTTTCTTCCACATTATTCCCCTCCTATTGCTATGGAGTCCAGTCCAACCCACATACCTGCGCTTTCCCACACTTGACACTCCCTCTCTGTGCCCTTAGAGACAACTAGGTGGCTCAGTGGAAAGAGCTCTGGGCCTGGAGTCAGAAAGACCTAAATTCAAATCCAGTCTCAGACACTTAGTAGCTGTGTGATCCTAGGCGAGTCTCTTAAACAATATGTGCCTGTTTCTTCCATTGTAAAATGAAGATAATAACAGCACTTATCTCCCAGGGTTGTTGTGAGAATCAAATGGGGTATATTGTAAAGTGCTTAGCACAGTGCCTGACCCTACCAGGGGTAGCCACTTAATAAGTGGTTATTTCCTTCATTTGCACTGGCTATCCCCCAAGCCTGGCATGCTTTAACATCTGCTTCTTGGAATTCTTGATTTCTTCAAGACTCTGTCTTAAGGGCCACCTTCCTTCTGAACAAGGATTTTCCTGATTCCCAAAGCCATTAGTGTCTTCCCTTTATAAAGTAGCCTTATATCTACTTTGCATGTATCTTGCATATACATTCATAGGGTCTACCTCATTAGAATGTAAGTTTCTTGAGGGCAGAGACAGTTTTGCTTTTGTCTTCTTATTCCTGGATGCTTAGCATTGTGTCTGGCACTTGGGTGCTTTAATAGATGTTTTTGGATTGATTAATAAATCACTAGTAAACTGCTTCATCAGCTTCCTAGGTAAGAGCAGTGTCTCAGGGAGATGTCAGCCAAAATTGAAGGTCAGAATTGACTTGAATTGGTTGAAATTAGACACCTATAGGGAAAAGCCTTCAGATGCAAAGTAGACATTCCCTACCCTAGAAAAAATGAGAGGTTTGAATACCTTAAAAAAATATGAAGAAGCCTGCAAGATGAAGAACTTGTCACCAGGGGCCCGGACTATATTTAAACCTCTGTCCCAAGTCACTAATGGCTTACTATTGTTGTTCTGTCATTTCAGTTGTATCTGACTCTTCCTGACTCCTTTTGGGTTTTTCTTGGCAAAGATACTGGAGTGGTTTGCCATGTTCTTCTCCAGCTCATTTTATAGATGAAGAAACTGAGGCAGATAGCAGTTAAGTGACTGTCACAGAATCACACAGCTAGCATCTGAGGCTGTATTTGAATTCAGGTCTTTTTTAATCTAAATCCAGGCCTCTATCTAATGTGCTACCTAGCTGCTACCAATATAATGTCAAGAAAAAAATAATTTTAAAACTGTATTTTTCTGGGAGACAGTTTGAGTCCATTATGATTTTTCCTGGCCTCTAACCCATTTTTATCTTTTCTAAGGAGAACTAAGTATGGCTTCCAAGTTAAACAGAGAGTTGAACCAACACACTTTATTAACCATTTGCTATATGTAGATGACGTTAGGCTATATGGCTCTACTGAAAAACAAAGTTCCTTCCTCGAATCATTTTCAGATGACATTAGGACGGCATTTGGATTCAATAAGTGTACAGTTTCTAATGTGTGCCAAGGAAATGTAGAAACTAAAGACATTAAGCTTGAATTTGGAGGTCAAATTCAACCAATGGATGAAGGTAATACCTAGAAAAAACTTGATCTCCAGGAAAGACATATCAAGCACAGTGATATCAAGGACAAGGCTGTGGCTAGATATGTTGAGACTTGCTGACATCTTGAAATCAAAGCTGAGTGGGAAGGACATGTTTAAAGCAGTTAACAACTATGCAATACTACTCTTAATCTATACCTTTGGGACAAAGACCTTGGATGGACTTAGTATTTAAATAAAAAACCTGTATAATATTACTGGAATTCAGGGCTTGTCACTTTAAGACAGCTAGAGAAAGATGAACATTTCCTTATTAGATTGTAAGTTCCTTGACAGCAGGAACTCTCTTTCTTATTTGTATCTTTAGTGCTTAATTCAGTGCCTGGTACATAGTAAATGCTTAATAAATGTTTATTGTTACATATTACCACAAAGGAACAGCTAAGTGGTTAGAGTACTAACCTGGATTCAAGAAGACTAGAGTTTAAATTCACCCTCAGACACTCACTAGCTGTGTGATCCTGAGCAAGCCACTTAACCCTGTTTGTCTCAGTTTCCTCATCTGTAAAATAAGCTGGAGAAGGAAACGGCAAACCACTTCAGTGTTTTTGCCAAGAAAACTCCAAATAGGGTCACAAAGAGTTAGATACGATTGAACAACAACAGGATAAATATAAATAAATATACAACGTAGTGAAATACAAAGCACTTTGGGAGGGAGGAGACAGCTTCTTGCTGAAGGTGGTACTTGAGCTCAGACTGGAAGGTAGTGGAATTTTATGTGGTAGAGATGAGGGGGCAGTGCATCCCTGGCATGGGGGGGGAGGGTGTGGACCATTTTGGGAACCAGCCTAAACAAAGCTTGGAAATGGAGTGTTGTGTACGAGGAACTGAGAGAAGGGAGTCCCCATGAGGCTAGAAGGAGGTTGGGTCCAGACTGTGAAGGGTTTTAAAAACTACAGAGGAGTTTATATATTTATTATCCTAGAGGTAACAAGGGAATCACAGGAGTTGATTAAGTAAGGGAATAACATGGTCAGAACACCCCTGGAGGAGAATCACTTTGTTAAGGTAGATAGAGTGTTCAAGGCGGATGGGGCAGGCAGGATGCAGAATGTGAGATGTGAGATAAGATGCAGGATGTGACCTGCCATAGACTATGTATTGATGCCCCCACCGGGAACTTATCTGTGTGCTTTTGCAAAGCAACCCAACTACTTGACATTGCAGAGCAGCTCTGCCCCTCCCCTTTTCTGTTCTCCTTGCTTTTCTACTGGACAAAGATACCTCTGGACTACCTGATATTCCAGGCATTCCAAAGCCATGTTTGCCCCTCCTCTCCTTCTTTTACTTCCTTTCTTCCTATTGAATCAAACTGTATTTAGACCAGACACCTAACCTAGCTAATTATTCTGCCTCCTATGGGAGCAGGCCCACTGGGCGAGTTACCCCCAATAAATGCCTTTCTTTAACTCGGAGACTGTCCAAGTGAATTCTTTCAGGACACTGGGACCCACACATCTATTCTTCATCAACTTCATCAGGCAGCAGTGTGTAGGATGGACTAGAGTGGGGGAAGACTTAGGCAAGGAGACCAACTAGGAAGTGGTTGCAGTAATTTAGAAGACAGTGGGTAAGGGCCACTGTTGGTAGCTGTGTGAGAGGAGAAAAGGGGTCTGATATTGATAAGTGTTGTGGAAGTAGACATGGGAAGTTTTGGCCTTTGAGTGGATAGTGAAAGAGAGTGAGTAGAGGATAATGCCATAGTTATGAACCCAGGAAAGCAGAAGGATGGCGATGCCTAAAAGAATTATAACAAGTAAGTGACTTGACCCAGGATTATTTCTATCTACACCCCATCAAAAATTGAGTAGAATTGGGGCAGCTGGGTGGCACAGTGAATAGAGCTCTGGCCTTGGAGCCAGAAGGACTTGAGTTCAAATCCAACCTCAGACATTTAATACCTACTAGCTGTGTGACCCTGGGCAAGTCATTTAACCCCGATTGCCTAAGCAAAAAAAAAAAAAAAATTGAGTAGAATAAGATGACAATGATAATAACAATCCTGACATTTATACAGACCTTTAAAATTTATAAAATTTTTTTACCTTCATTATCTTATCCACTCTTCATGATAGCCCTGTGAAGACTGTGTTGGATGGAGATAGGTAGACAAGACCATGGGCTGAACATTTCTGTGAAGATTTAGTCTCCAAGGAAGTTGGTCTCTCAACCTAGGCAGCTCCAAATCTCAGTGGGAAGATTCAGCCCTCACCTTAGGGAGCCCCTCACACAAATAGGAAGGTAAGGATTTGGGACCCTCCAGTTCTCTAGTTCTCTACCCTCTGAGAGGTAGATGTCTTGCACACTATGCAGTTTTTACTGTTCTTTAATAACCAGGAGTTAGT